TACAAATGAACCTGTATTGATAACAGAAAATAGCACAATATCACATATACATGTACATGTGAATGTATTATGTATATACACAATATTGCTATTGCTTAATTACTTCTCTCTGACATGCGTCCAATTCCTGACACATTCCTCTTGAAGACTGTGATAAAACATCTTTCTCTTCTAATAATAACAATTAGAATAACATTGTAGCATTGAGGAGGAGGTGAGCATGAGACATAGCTCTAAAAATTGGCTCCTATTGTACAATTGTATGTTGATCTCAATAGCTGATTGAAACTGTAATTTTTTAAGTCTTCCAAATACCCTGTACTACAGCCCATGGTTTTTTCCAAAAAATGGCTCCAAAAACAACCTCAATTTTTATTACATTTTCTGATACATATTGATGTTCTTATGCTGTGTAGAAAGTTTAAGCCAATTCCAACTTAAATTTTTCAAGTTATGAACATTTTAAGAAATTTGTCAAAATCTGAAAAATACCCAAGGCTTTCAAGTTATGAACATTTTAAGAAATTTGTCAAAATCTGAAAAATACCCAAGGCTATATAGCCCATGCTTATTTCAGAAAAATATCCAAAAAATCACCCCCAATTCTTATTACATTTTCTTATACATATTGATATCCTTATGCTATGTAGAAAGTTTGAGCTGATTCCGACTTAAAATTTTTAAGTTATGGTCATTTTAAGAAAATTGCCAAAATCTGAAAAATACCCTGTACTATAGCCCATGCTTTTTTCCAAAAAATGGATAAAAAATCACCCCCAATTTTTATTACATTTTTTGATACATATTGATGTCCTTATGCTATGTAGAAAGTTTGAGCCAATTCTGACTTTAATTTTTCAAGTTATGAACATTAAAAAAAATACAATATCCAATCATTCATGGCTCATACTTGCCCCTAGTAATAATAATAATATTAATAATAGCAATACCTTGAAATCCAGGCTTGTTCAGTTTCCTGTTTAACATGTACATAAGGAGTTGCTCTATCTCTGGTAGTCTCTTTGATGAAATGAGTGGAGTCTGTGATACCAGGAAACCAGCCAATGACTGGATATCAGTGGATTTACTCAATCCTTGTATATTAATACTAAAAATAAAATAATAATAATAATAAATAAATAAAAATAGTACTAGTACAGTACATGTATTAAACATTTATTTTGTTAACACAAATATTACTAGTGATCAGCTAAATACATTAAAGTGATTCTTAAAGATAATATAAATTAATAAATATTGCGATTTTAGTGCTCAGTACATTTAGTGGGGTTTTAATTTTTAATTTCAGTGACAAAATTTATAATCAAAATTAATAGTAAATATTATTTAATAATTACAAATATTTAGATTGATATCTTAATGACAAAACCTTCAATTAACAATACCGTGATTAGAATTCAAACTAATATGCACATGAAAGAGACTGTCCTTACGTTTTCCTACACTGCTTAAGGTCAGCTCCCATTGTTTCTAGTCTCTCAGAGAGGACTCGCGCATCAACACTGTAGTGTATCAATATGGCGTTCTTGCTAGGATGTACATCAATATTCCCTTCAATAATTTCCCTATAATCAATACAATGAAGTCCTAAATGACAGTAAATCAAGTCCTCACGTGCTGAGATATTCTGGCTCGACCTCCATTTTTATTTTTTCGTTGCCATTGACAACAAACCACGCCCGCACAATAACCACGCCCGATACTGCAATTATTTTTACCGCCCACTCAAGATGTTTTTTAGAATTTAGAGTAGAGTGACTAGAATTCCTTGCTTTCAAGCAAGAGATCAGATGCAGATGCCAGATGGCAGGCATTTTTAGGAATTTGCTTAGAATTTGGTCCGACTATATCTATGACTGCAGTATTGCTGCACAAGCACACCACTAATCCAACATGCCCATTTCTGGGGAAAAAACTGTTGATATAGCTGGGCCACAAATCCCACCATCCGAGCGTATGGCACGCCATTTGTAACAAAATTCCCAAGTCTATGATGTCACATTCTAAGCTTATAATGTCACATTGTAAGCTTAGAATGTCACATCCTATTATGAATGGGTGTGTTTATATGAGAGACTGGAGTGGTTTACTATTTTAAATATGGACTCTAGCTGGTGTAAAGTTTTTTCTAAGAATTAAGCAGTCTTTTTTACTCTTGTCAGAATCAGATTGGAGTGGCTAATGAAAGATATGTGAATTACGCCATAGAGAGACTAGTGTTAACATAAAACACTAGAATGTGACATTCTAAGCTTACAACGTGGCATTCTAAGCTTACAATGTGGCATTCTAAGCTTACAATGTGGCATTCTAAGCTTACAATGTGACATTCTAAGCTTACAATGTGACATCATAGACTTGGGAATTTTGATACTAACGGCGTGCCATACGAGCGACAGTCAGCCACTATCTCTGTCAAGTCATCGAATTGTCCTCTTTAACTTTAACTGAGGCCAGAGTGTGACAAGTTCCTAACTTCCAGGCTATTCACAATGGGCCAAGGGCAATCAAAATGTGGTAAGACTTTTAATAAACTTATCCTTGAGTCTTGACCTACATCATGCTACATGATTTATATTACAGTAGATTTTTCAAAAATAGAAGAATTGGAAGTAAGCCTGTAATTAAATCTATACTTTATTGTGACTATTTTTAGAAAAAGATCCAGGAATTACATAACAATGCTCTAACAAAAATTGACAAACTGAATAAAAAGTATGTTGGAGGAGAAGGTCCATGCATAAACAATGAAGGACTTAAGTTATTCCTTCATCAAATCAAGAACAAGATGTTATTAGTAGCTGTAGTGGGTGAAGGTAGTTGTGGTAAAAGTACTCTCATCAATGCCTTTTTAAGAGACAGGTAAGCTTATGTTAATTAAGCGACTACAAGGTTCATGTCTTTATGTCTTAGAATCTTACCATCAGGAATTGGAAAAGTTACTGGTTGCAGGATATTTATTGGACATGATCCAAATGTTCATAAAGATCCTTGTGAGAGCTCCAATGGGCATTGTGATGTGAGTGCATATTTTGGATATTTTTTGCCTAATAAAGCATCTTATTATGCCTTATCTTTGTTTTTATAGGAATGTCCATATTTGGTCCAAGGGATTGGAACAAACAATAGACTGTGCCATGGACTAAAGAACATTAAATCAAAAATAAAAGAAATGAACAAGAAGGATGAGAAACAAAAAGACCCACTTGTTCTCTATACTTACATTCCAGTATTTCATTCAAAAAATGAGTCATCAACACCTTATTGTACACCTTACCTTGTGGACTCTCCTGGAGTTGAAGTTATCAATGACGATGTTAAGTCATACTATAGCATACTTTCTGCTATGATTTATGTTGAGAACTACCAAAGGTAAAATAGATTGATGAAAAATGTGATAACAATATATTATAGACTCTTGCAAAATGAAGAAAACATTAGGAAAGAATTGGGTTGCAAGCCAGAATCTGGTAAATACTACATGCTATAGTGTGGAATAATTCTTTTCTATAATAATAACGTAACAAGATTTTTTCATTTAATAGCATCATTATTTTTTGCTGTGAGCCATTTTGACAAATACTACACATCTTATGCTGATGAGGAGAAACTTAATGAAGAGGAGACTAAAACTGAAGTTGAATCCAGCATGAAGCTGGTTAAACGTGAAGAAGTGTTTCCTGTTTGTGGTTCATGGGCTCTGCATGCACACCTTGCACTGAGGTATAACCCAACAGATGAAATATCCCGTCCTGTCGAAGAGGCTTATAATTGGATATCCAAGAAAAAAATATTACTATATTGGAAATTAAAGCTGGAGTCGTTTTGGAAAAATCAGCCATTAAAGAATTAGAAGAAATGTAAGCATGCAAAATGCATGTTTGATTTTGAGTACAAAATGGCAACTCTGGCAGAAAAAAGATAAATGAAACAGAAGTCTGTCATCCTTTCTGGTTGAACAAAATTTTTCATAACTAAATGTACCCATTAAACATGTACATGTAGGATAAATTATCCGTTATATGTACATACAGGTTAAAATGTTCAATTAATGGAACAAAATTTCAGGATTGGAATATCAAGATGTGCGAACAATGCCAAGCACTTTTAAAAGGTCCTATTCAAGCAGGAGAAGCTGCTTTAAAGACAATTCAGACTAAAATAGCTGGTAAATATTGTATGAAAATGACTAAAGCAATAAATATAATATAGACAGCAAAAAATATATAAAAGATGTAAAGAACAAAATTAAAGCTGTAAAAAGTATGGAAAAAAATATTCAGAATGATTCAAAAGATTTGGAAGAACATTATTTACAAGAAATTTTATCCGTAAGTTAATCTTTTACAGAGAAAAGAACTTTATTATAAAGTCCAGAAACAAGTAATTGAGGAATGTACAGGATCATTTCATAAAAGCTGTATCGATAGTACAAATACCAATTATACATCTGAGCAATTTTTGAAAGGTTCTATAAAAATATTCATCAGTATTAATAATTGCTTTAACATGTAGACTGGGATGTGTTTAGGACACATGATCTTCCTGAGAAACTTAAGAAAAAACTGACTGATGAAACAAAGAGATGTCTTGAAGAGTTAAAACCCCAACTTCAAAAAAAATATGGTGAATTGATAAATTACATACTGGGTCATGATCCTGAGTCTGAGAGCACAAATTTTGTGGAAGAAGGTATGTCAGTCAATTCATTATAACAGATTTTTATGCATATTATACTTTTTGAATATACATGTACATGTAGTTGAAGCCCAAGTAGTCCATCTTAGTCCCATTGGTGAGCCTTCTGAGGACATAAAGGATTATATCAGGTGAAATTAATAATTACCAGTATAACAGCTTTATTTAAATCATGTAATATTTAACAGTTTGAAAACCGAAGAAAAAAAAAATGCTGTTGCTAGCTCTAGAGCAAGTTTGGGAAATAAACTTTTAAGAGTAGCTAAAGGTTTGGCTGTGTTTGCATTGGTTGTAACAGCAGCACCAATTGTTGTTGGAGGTGCAGTTGCTGGAGGTGCAGTTGCTACAGGTGCAGTTACTGCAGGTGCAGGGGCAATTGCTACAGGTGTAGCTGCAACAGGTGGAATTGCTGGAGGTGGAGTTGTTGCTGCAGGTGCAGGTTTAGTTGCTGGAGCTGGTTATGTTATGAAAAAAATAGCCAAAACTATTACTGTTCCTAATGTGAAAATGAGGTATTATAAGCTCTTTGTGAATGATTAGTAATAGTTAATACATGGGGCGGCGTGTTCTATCTGATTTATCCGCACGAGCTTCCGGTCGAGTCGCTAAAAATAGCGCACGAGGCCGAAGGCCGAGTGCGCTATTTAGTTTAAGCTATTTAGTGCGCTATTTAGTTTTTATTTAGTGCAGGTTTAGTTGCTGGAGCTGGTTATGTTATGAAAGAAATAGCCAAAACTATAACTGTTCGTAATTTGAAAATGAGGTATTATAAGCTCTCTGTGAATGATTAATGAACTCATACTATAGTATAGAAGATGTCAATGCACTGTGTGACAAAATTAACATAGAGATTACAAGTTCTGATGAAATACAAAAAGTATAATTTTGTACTACTATTATTAATGTTTTGACTATACAGGCTGTAAAAAATGTACTGAGAGACTACTCTAACACACTGAAGGCTAAATATGATCAAGAATGGGGATCAAAATGGGAATCAGAACTCAATCAAAAGTTAAAAGAAGTGAATAATTGTAGTTAAAAATTACACTATAAGTTCTCTAGGCTGAGGATTCATTAAAAGACTTACAAAAAGAAGAGGAAGTGCTGAAACAGGCACTTAAAGAACTTAAGGAATGCAATGAAAGTCTTAAAGTTTCAATCCGTGACTTATCATCCCCCACCCCTGAAGATGATCGTGATTGATTATTACTTAAAATTTTATTTGCTTGTGTGTTGTCCCATTCACTAAAGTAATAAAAAAGAATATTGCTGAAATCAAGTTATAATCAATTTTATGATTAAAATAAATTATAATTATTTCTTGATGTACTTTGTGGTGTATGAGGACCCTGTGAAAGTCAGAGAAAGTCGAAAAGCAAAAGAAAATGTAAATTATGTTAGTAGAGAGTTCAATGCTTTTACGCCAGTCGTCTCTCAGTACTCTAGTCAAAGCTAAGAACAATGACTCTAAAAGAAGGTAAAGAATTAAAGACTGAATAATAGTACAGTAGCAAACAAAACCTAATTATCAATAGCTACTGATTTATTCTATGGAATGTAATTACAAGCATACATGTACATGTACATACATGTAGTGACACCAAGCACAATATTACATGATACACATACACATGTACAATGTATACATAGTTTACACAAGCCCCCACAGTGAGGACGACCCAAGATGATATTGTCAAGTTAAGCCAGTATATAAACTGATGCACTAATTCTTATAGTAGCTTTCAGTTCCTTCATGAAATAAGTTTCTTAATCTTCACAAATTTTTGGAAAGGACTATTACAGTCCTGTATCTTAATCCTCAATTTTATTGAGTGTTTACAAGTATAACTAATAATTGTAATTTTCATGCATAGGGTAACCCATCATGTACTCTTGGTAACACGTACATGTAGTATCCTGTATAAATTACCATTGGATCCTAGCTCCAGTAGATTGTCAGGGTTTCTAGCTAATTGTAATATCATTCCAGTGCCTTGAACCTTCTCTGGTATATCTTCATATAATAATTCCAAGTAATCGGATAAATCAACCAAAGAAGCAACTTCTGTAATCTAAATAAAGTAAATTATTATTTAACAAACCCATATTGATAACAGAAAATAGCATGATATCCCATTATACATGTGCATATATGTACATGTACATACATGTATATATGTATTATAATTATACACAATATTGCTATTGCTTAATTACTTCTCTCTGACATGCATCCAATTCCTGACACATTCCTCTTGAAGACTGTGACAAAACATCTTTCTCTTCTAATAATGACAATTAGAATAACATTATGGCATTGAGGAGGAGGTGAGCATGAGACATAGCTCTGAAAATTGGCTCCTTATATGCACATGTTGTACATGTATATTGAATATTGATATCATTAGCTGATAAAAACAGAGTCTACCCTGTTCATGGGTTTTTCCAAAAAATGGCTAAAAAATCACTTCCAATTTTTATTACATTTTCTAATACATATTGATGTCCTTATGCTATGTAGAAAGTTTGAGCTAATCTCGACTTAAATTTTTTGAGTTATGAGCATTTTTTAAAAATTGCCGAAATCCGAAAAATGCCCTGTACTATAGCCCATGCTTTTTTCCAAAAAATGGCTAAAAAATCACCCCTAATTTTTTATACATTTTCTGATACATATTGATGTCCTTATGCTATGTAGAAAGTTTGAGCTAATTCTGACTTAAATTTTTCAAGTTATGAGCATTTAAAAAAATACAATATCCAATCATTAATGGCTCATGCTTGCCCCTAATAATAATAATTATTATTATTATCAACAATAGCAATACCTTGAAATCCAGGCTTGTTGAGTTTCCTGTTTAGCATGTACATAAGGAGTTGCTCTATCTCTGGTAGTCTCTTTGATGAAATGAGTGGAGTCTGTGATACCAGGAAACCAGCCAATGACTGGATATCAGTGGATTTACTCAATCCTTTTATATTAATACTAAAAATAAAATAATAATAATAATAATAATAATAATAATAATAAATAAATAAAAATAGTACTAGTACAGTACATGTATTAAACATTTATTTTATTAACACAAATATTACTAGTGATCAGCTAAATACATTAAAGTGATTCTTAAAGATAATATAAATTAATAAATATTGCGATTTTAGTGCTCAGTACATTTAGTGGGGTTTTAATTTTTAATTTCAGTGACAAAATTTATAATCAAAATTAATAGTAAATATTATTTAATAATTACAAATATTTAGATTGATATCTTAATGACAAAACCTTCAATTAACAATACCGTGATTAGAATTCAAACTAATATGCACATGAAAGAGATTGTCCTTACGTTTTCCTACACTGCTTAAGGTCAGCTCCCATTGTTTCTAGTCTCTCAGAGAGGACTCGCGCATCAACACTGTAGTGTATCAATATGGCGTTCTTGCTAGGATGTACATCAATATTCCCTTCAATAATTTCCCTATAATCAATACAATGAAGTCCTAAATGACAGTAAATCAAGTCCTCACGTGCTGAGATATTCTGGCTCGACCTCCATTTTTATTTTTTCGTTGCCATTGACAACAAACCACGCCCTTAAAGTTAACACGCCTACCAGTAAATTTTTAACGCCCACTCAAGGGTGGGGCTGGAGACATGGAAGACTTGAAGTTCAGAAGGATTGTTTCTTCACGACATAGAGTAGAATTCCTAGCCTTTTCTTCAAGCAAGAGATGGGGAACGCTCTTGGGAGCTTGCTTTGGTGATTATTCAGTCCGTTTATATGACTGCAGTGGGAATGAGGAAGCAGTACTGCTAGCTTGTTTTACAGAGCACGCTAGCAACGTTTGGGGTCTTTGTTTCTCTTCTGATGGATCCCTGCTAGCTTCCTGTTCCTCTGATAAGCAGTTGATAGTTTATTCAGTGGATCAAGTCTCTGTATTAAAAGTACTAACATTGCACAGTGGAACAGTCTGGTCTTGTAAATTCACATCACAAAAGTTATTAGCAAGTGCTTCTGAAGATTGCACTGTAAAGATAACGTCAGTAAATACTGGAGATGTAAGTAGTACAGTTTCTTTTAATTTACCATTGGAATCACTGGATATCAGTAAAGAGAAGGAACTAATGTGTGTATCAGCTAGTAGGTATGGTAAAGTGTGGATCTTAGCATCACAAGAGAGCAAACCAATTGAAGTGTATTCTAGTGAAGTAGGTGTACATGCAGTTCAGTTTATTAGGGATAACAAAGACACTGAATATCTTGTAGTATCAACACAGTCACATGCAATACTTGTGTACTTAATGACTGATGTACTAGTAAATGCTAGTTGTAATTCTCCTCCAGCATTTGTACTTGAAGGTCATTGTAATATAATATGGAGATTCTGTAGTATCAGTAATGAATGTAGTACTACATTAATCAGTGCTTCAGGTGATAAAACTGTTAGGTAAGGTATATCAGTAAATTATGATGCATTGTTTTATTTAATACCATAGGTTCTGGGATTTAATTACAAGAAAATGTGTACATGTCCTTAGGTATTTTCAAGGCAGTCTTGATCCAAACTCTCAAATACTGGCATGTGATTTTATACAAGGCAAAGAAGACTATAGCAAACTCTCCATTGGTACTTATGATGGGTGCATTTACATTGGCAATTTAGTCGAATAATGGCTGAACAATTATTATGTTTGTTTGATCAATGTTTTTCTTTTGATGTCATCTGTGAAGTTTCCTTTGAGATGGGGGATATTATAGTATCATTACATTTCCCACACAAGCTAGTCTGCATGTGTATTGTGTTCTTTCCCCTACATCATGACCTCCCTTTCATGTACCATGAATATCACTTAGTTGTGTCTTGAGTGGAAATTGGATCCTAATGAATTTTCTTTGTATTTCTTGTGAACTCTCCCTAATCCCTACACAGACAAAGATTTCATTGCATTTGTCCAAAATGGGCATAGGACCATCAAGTGGTGAGCATTTTATCCTTTAGTTGATAATTAGATCGATATATTTTGCTATAGTCAATTTTTCTAAAGTAGATGAATTGAAAGTAAGCTGATATGTTATAGATCATTAAGTTTTAATGCTTAATTAATGTCTTTGATTTCCATTTCTATCACCTTTATTAAAATTAATTAGAAAAAGATTGATGATATACATGATGGTGCTCTGAAAAAAATTGATGAATGCCACGAGAAACATGTTGGAGAGGAGGCCCATGTGTTAATGCTGAGAGTCTGAATTTATTTTTCCATCAAATTGAGAACAAGATGCTACTAGTAGCGGTTGTGGGGGAAGGCAGTTCTGGTAAAAGTACTCTTATTAATGCCTTTTTAAGAGACAAGTATGTACACAGCTATGTATATAGTAACTGCAGCTTGCATATTTGTAGAATCTTACCATCAGGAATTGGAAAAGTTACTGGTTTTAGGATATTTATTGGGCATGATAAAGATGTTCATGAAGATCCTTGTTCCACTGGGTACTGTAAGGTGAGTGAATGATTAGAACATGCATTTATTTTACAAGAAAGCCCATATGACACATAGACTAAGTAAGAGCTTTTTTATAGAATTGTCCATATTTGATCAGAGGTTTTGGAAAACATGATAAATTGTCACGCGCACAGTGCTATGGAGTAAAGAAAATTGAATCAAAAATAAGAAAAGAGAACCAACTAGATGATAAGGACCAAAAAGACCCTCTTGTTATTTATACTTACATTCCGTTATTTGATTCATTGAGCTCTTCAGCCCATTTTACACCTTACCTTGTGGACTCTCCTGGAGTTGAAGTTATCAATGATGATGTTAAGTCATACTACAGCATATTGTCTGCTATGGTTTATGTTGAGAGTTACCAAAGGTAAAACGATAAAAATGATCATATTGTGATAGCATTTATAATTTATATAGACTGCTACAAAATGAAGAAAACATTAAGAAAGAGTTAGGTTTCAAGCCAAAAGATGGTATATAATTATAATTACAACAATTACTAAGTTACTATGGCCACGGTGGCATTTAAACTAGAGTGCCTTGTATGGTGTATTTAGTATCCATAATTTTACAAATCAGAGGGCATGTGTGAATTACCATTCACCAAATGGGGTGCCAGTATAACAAATTGATATTAGATATATATGCTTATTAATAATAATATATTTTTTTCTAATGATAGCATCATTATATTTTGCTGTGAGTCAGTTTGACAAATACTACACATCTTATGCTGATGAGGAAAATCCTGATGAAGAAGAGACTAAAGATAAAGTTAAATGTAATTTGAAGCTGGTTAAACGTGAAGAAGTGTTTCCTGTTTCTGGTGAGTGGGCTCTACGTGCACACCTTGCAAGGAGGTATAAGGAAAAAGATGAGATTTCACGAGGTGCTGTTGAAGAGGCTTATAATAAGATACCAAACCAGAGAGTTGTTGGTATGTTAAGTAATAAAACTGCATTAGTTTTGAAATCTTCAGCCTTTGAAAATTTAGAAAAAAGTATGTAAATGCATATATTATACTAGTGAGTATTACTAATTTGTATAAATAGATTAAAATACTCAATTAAAGCAACAAACTTTGAGGTGTGGAATAAAATGATGTATAAACAATGTATCAAATTTTTGGAAGACCCTATTCAAGTAGTAGATACCATTTTATTACCTAACATTGAGCTTAAAATAGCTGGTAAGCATTATGATAAAGGAAAGAATTGAGCTACTGATGATAATGAATACTTATAGACAATAGCAGAAATATTGAAAGAATACAAGAAAATATTAGTATTTTAGAGACAATGGAAGAAGAAGTTCAAGAATATGTTTCAGAACAATTGGAAAATATACAGCAAATAGCATCTGTAAGTTTATGTTTCATTCATAATAAAATTAAATGCTTGCAGAACTTTTTTATGAGAAGAGTCTCTCCAATAATTGAGGAAGAAATGCAAATATTCCGTAGGAATTGCATAGACAGTGTGAATAGAAATTACACATTTGGACGATATTTGGAAGGTGCTGCATGCATGTATTGCAATATAATCTTAGTATAAATTACTTATAGACTTAAACACACTTTTAAATAATCTTTCTGGTCTAATTACACAAGAACTGAATGATAAAACACAAATATGCAGTGAAAACTTAGGATCTGAGCTTCATAAAAAATACAAAAGATTGATAAGGCACATACAGGGAGATTCTCGTAGTGTAAATTTAACTGCAGTTTGTATGAATTAGTAAATAATAACATTATTTGTACCTATTTTAATAGTTCAAACCCGAAATATTGCAGATAGCGGTTTTACTAGTGAGCCTTCTAGAACTATAACTGGTTTTGTCAGGTAAAATTTATGATACACATGTAGTTTCATTATGTATAATTATATTCAAATAGGAATAGAACTCGAAACTGGAGAATATTGAATAGTGCACTCGCAGCAGCTAGTGCTGGAGCAAGTGTACTAGCTACTGGTGCAGGCTTTATGACTGCTATAGCTTTAAATATCTTAGCCGTGCCAGTTATACTATCATCAGGTGTAATCATTTCTGGGCTGAGTGGAACTGCTTATTTTATACGACAATTTATCAACACTACAGATCAAAGTATGGAATTGAGGTAAAATAACAGATCTTCCTAAGTGATTAATAAAAATTACATACTAAGTTATAGTGAAGAAGATGTTGTGACACTGTGTGACCAAATCAAGTCTGATATTAGAATAAATTCTGCAGGCAGAATTAAGCAAAAATTTGAGCAAGTAAAATGAATAAACTAATATTACTTATATTTTGTGCTACACAGGTAGTAGAAGATGCATTGAGAGACTACAACAGATTATTGAAAGCTAAATATGATCGAGAATGGGGACAAAGACTTAATCAATGCTTGGAAGAAGTGAGAAAAAGAATAAAAAATACATCATATTATGGTATTGTGCTCAATTTTTAGGCTCAGGTTTCATTAACACTCATATGTAAAGAGAAAACTGACTTGACACAAGCATGTGATGAACTTAGGCAGTACAGTGATAGTCTTAAAGTTTTAGTTCAAGAAACTGAATGAATACATACACATTAGTCTTGCCCCGCCCCTTCGCTTTAGGTAAGCGAAGGGGCGGGGCGAGACTACATACACATATCATAGATATTAGATATTGTATTTTGTATTTCTATAGATGTAGTGCATACAATATGCAAAAAAGCAACTCATTTTATATTTTTTTTCTAATACATATTATGTTCTTATGTTGAATAGCAAGTTCGAGCTCATAAAAACCATGTACTGTATTGAAGCATTCTGTGTTTAACTCACTTAGTATGCTTTGTGGGAAACCCTATGTGAGACACAGGACACATGTACTAAAAGTTAAAGCTGTAATGAAAGACCTAATTTTTATCCATTTCCTGATACAAATTGATAATACTGTAATATTATGAAGACAGTCTGAGCTGATTTCGATTATCATTATCAGGGGCGTAGGCAGGATTTTTGGAATGAGGTGGCATGCATGTAGATATTATAATAATGTCATAAGTATGGCACCATAGCGACTGTAATTCTATACCACAACCATCAAAAATTTTATGAAAACAAACAGACACAAATCAAGTTTTTAAAAGTAATATTTGAACCATATAATTTTGTGCATAAATTTTAGTATGGCTCAAAAAATTAGACTACAGGTAGCAGTAATACCAATTCATACTTATAATGTATGAGTAAAGTTAATGATATTGGATGAGAGGGCCAGGTTGAGAAGGCATGCAAAACCTTTCAATCTCTGAAAATTATACTATTGTATTATACTATGCAACCATAGTATTACAACTAACAGTATTAGTTAGTAATACTTAGTAATACAACCATATAATATAACACACATACAATCTGTGTGTAATGAATTTGAGAGGGCTGGGTTGAACTTGAGAAGGTATGCAAAGCCTTTCAAAATTTGAAGTTAAATCAGCCACCACATTTTATGTTCAAAGATATTCAATTCTCATGCACTATAGTCTTGTCTACTAATTTTCCAGGAAAGTTAAAATTATTCTAATATTTAATATAGATGTTTAGATGTGGTTTAATTACTACAAGAACACATCCTGCTTTATATCATAATTAATTAATTCTTTAATAATTATAGTAACTTAGTTGATAATATATTCATGTATGCTTAAGAAACCATTAATGCAAAGCAGAACTAGTCAGAATGACAATCAACCCAATTCCTAGCCAATCATATGACTCAAAATAATGGTCTCTGAAGTGTTGCAAGCTGCTTTACCTGGCTTGGTAACATCAGTAGATACTGGAGATGTAAGTAGTACAGTTTCTTTTAGTTTACCATTGAAATCACTGGATGTCAGTAATGAGAGTGGACTAATGTGTGTATCAGCTAGTAGGTGTGGTAAAGTGTGGATAATAGCATCACCAGAGAGCAAACCAATTGAAGTGTATTCTAGTGAAGTAGGTGTACATGCAGTTCAGTTTATTAGGGATAACAAGGACACTGAATATCTTGTAGTATCAACACAGTCACATGCAATACTTGTGTTCCTAGTGGCTGATGTACTAGTAAATGCTAGTTGTAATTCACCTCTAGCATTTATGCTTTGTAATATAATATGGCAATTTTGTAGTATCAACAATAAATTTAGTACTACATTAATTAGCACTTTGAGTGATAGAAACTGTTAGGTAAGATATCTACTCTTGGTAAGATATATTAGCAAATTATCATGCAATAGATTTAATTACAAGAAGATGTGTACTTGTCCTGCTATTTTCAAGGCAGTCTCAATCCAAACTCACAAATGCTGGCATTAGATTTTATACAAGATGGAAAGACAGACAATAAAAAACTGTCCATTGGTTCATATGATTGTTACATTTACATTGGCAATTTAAATTGAAATCATAGTAGTATTAGAATTGTTAGATCTATTTATGCAAGTCATAGCAGTTGATATACATATTTAATTGCCCTTCACAATTGATCAACATCATGTTTAAATCTTTTCTCCAGATGTCATCTCATATCCTTTGCCTGATGTAGAACTGAACCTGGGCTCATTGGTTACATTAATTATTAATTTTAATTATGTAGAATATGTACATTAATCATATATGCTATCAGTATCATCATTAGTAACGCGGTAGCGTTACTAAGTAGGATTCACCCCATTTCAAAATGGCTGCCACGACTTTTGCAGCCTTGCTATACCGGGAAAACGAGCTCCTATGCTTACCAGACTTCTTAGAAGACCTTATCTCGACCAGAGGATTTCATTAGTATCACTAGTGTGTCTCTAAACCTTGTCTAAGAGGAAAGTGAAAAATCGGCAAACGGGCCGTTTTGTTCAGTCCACTTATTTTCGTCTTCATCATCTCCGTCAATCAGTTAAGCAGGGGTATCGAGTCTTTGACCAACGCTACAAGGCTAATTCTTACACTATTCTACTTCAGCTGGCCATGCGCAGGTCCACAACTTCTTAAATAACTCTAACAAAAAGAAAAATGCCCTCTCTCTATCGTTGCAGTAGTCCACTTACCTCATTCCGCCATTTTGTTAATAAAAGAAGCATGTGCTCCAAAATGTAGGTGTGGTCGCGCATGCTCAGATCAGATCATAGATATTAGAGTAAATGAAACTCTATTATCAGGAGTCCATAATGTGGGTAAAGAAGGAGTAGGAGTGTGAAGCGCCCCCGCTTTAATGAGATTTTCTTTCTGCTTACCAGAGCTAGCGGATATACTATTTTTAGACGA